GAGAAATACTTTTAACTCATGGTATATGGAGGAGATTATAATCAATGTAATGAAACAAGTTATATGAATGGTTGAATGTGAAACTGATGATGTGCCCTGTAAACTTTCACTCAATCCACAATAAAAACCTTAAATAAAAAAATTTAAAAATTAGGATTCACTTCCTTTCTACCAGGACTAGACAACCGATTATCCCAGACTCACTTGGGGAGAAAAGAAGGAAAAGTTCAGATGTCTAACAGATCATGCATGTTTTTCTTTGAGACAATGAACAATACTTAAAGGAACTATTTACAATGTGAATAGAACTAAGTTTACAGCAGGTAGAATTCGTGGTAATTTTTCTACTACAAGTAAGACACAGTCTTAGATATTTTAGAGACTAGATGTCTTCTCTGCACATCTGATTTGTGAGTCAGCAAATGCACAAAGGCATCAGCAAATATCTGATTACACATGTAAACTAATTTCTTAGGCATAAAAGCAGTGGACAGGAATCACACACAAAAATACTCAATATACCAGACTATATAATACTTAATATTGTACTACATTAAAAATAAACACAAAACTAAAAGACAAATTTTTAAAAGCAGAAAAATCAAAACAGTCTTAATGCTAATATCCCCAACACAAATACATTTGAAAAATAGTCAGTAATGAAATAAAAAAACCGACAAATCAAAAAGAAAAAAATAGCTAATAAACATTTGAAGATATGCTCAGCTGCATGAATAACCAAAAAAATAGTAAAAATAACATATTATTTTTAACTATCAAACAAGACAAATTTTCTTAAATTTATAATATTTAGTTTTGCAGAATAGAATAATAATTCTTAGATACTGTAAGAAATTAGTACAAACTTCACTGGAACAAGGTATAACATGTTATTACTTTTTATCCCAATATTCCCCTTGCCTAATCTATCTTAAGAAAATAACCAATGAGGGGAACCAAAATTTATGCATGAAGTTTACTGAAGCATTATTTATCATAGTAAAATAAGAAAAACAAGAAAAAACTTAGATGGTTGATTAACCAAAGGCATAAAATTATTAAGTACACCTTGGCTATCTGATAGTACATTATGTAGCCCTCAAAAATATTCTCAAAGACTAAAGATATAAAAAGTGAGTATCAACATTAAGAGAAAATAAGGGCACAAAAATGCACATACAGTATGTATAAACAGAACAATAAAAAAAAGGATGAATCCCAGACACAGGCAACGCAGACAAATCTCAATAAAATAAAATAGCTAACAGAACCAAAAAACATTATTCAACATAAAAGAAGTAAGACACAAATGAGTAAATACGTATGGGTCTACTTATATAAAGTTCAATGACACAAATCTACAGTGATAGAAGTTAAAACAGTGGTCACTGGTTAAAAGGGGTACATCAACTGCAAAGAGGCATGCAGAATTTCACAGGGGTGATGAAAATGTTCTACACATCTTAAACTAGGTTGTGATCACATAAGAATATTAATATGCAAAAAATCAACAAAGTGCATACATACATCAATAACTAATAGTTATAAAGCTATATACCTGAGACTTGTGCATTTTCCCATACATACATTATACCATAACTATCAGAAAAATTGCAAATAAAGGAGTTTCAATTTTGTTAAATGTATTCATTACAAAGAAAAAAATGCAACACACATCAAAATGTTGTTGTTGTTACATTATTAAGTGCTGTCAAGAACGTTCCAATTCATAGTGACCCTGTACAGGGTTTTCCAAGAAGTGGCTGGTTGGTTTGAAATACCAGCCTGCAATTAGCAGTCCAGTGCTATCGCTACAGCTCCACACCAAAACTCCAACTTATATGATTAGAAAACCAAAAAAAAAAATTAAACCTTATGTTGAGAATTCTATCACATTTGTAAAAGAAAACTCTTTTGCACTTGTAACAATCACAAAATCATGCAATACCCATAAAGACTTAATATATCCTTCCTCCAACAAATTTCTTATAAATTACAAACACTCATGTTTATAGCAATACATTAGAACTAATCAAGAAAAACACTGAGCTAATTAAGCATCTGCTATGCTTGCCTGGTGGTGTAGTGGGTTACACATTGAGATGTTAACTGCCTAGCAGACAGCTCAAATTTACCAGCCACTCCATGGGAGAAAGATGAGGTTTTCCACTCCCTTAGAGACTTACAGCCTTGGAAACCCTGTACAGGGTTGCTATGAGTCAGAACCAACTTGATGGCACACAGCAACGCTGGGAAGGCTGCACTATGAACTGTGCAGTGGTTTTAAAACTGTCCTGCACTCATACATGGCTCTCCTAACTCAAAAACCAGTCCCTAAAAACTGAATTTTTAAACAATTTCTTGCAAGCCTGATTTACCCAAATTTCATGCAAAACGTACAGTTAATTTTATTATCAATGAAAATACTCTTTGAATTTCAGATGCTCTTATAATATGTATAAAATAATAACATAAGAACAAAACCAAAAAGACATACAAACCTCTGATTGTACATGCCCCGAAAGTTGTAATTAGCTCTATAATTTGGAAATGGCTTTGGTTCTAACGGCCTGTAGATGGCAGGCTCTCCCCTTTTCATAGCAAGCCCATTCAGTTCCACAGTTGGAGTTATACTGCCTGTTAAACAAAAAAAAAAAAAAAGGCACACAAGTGAAATACTTCCACAATATATCAGGCAAGCTACATTTTTAAGGCATTTCATTCCCATGTGGGAAGAAGGTAGGGGTGGTGATCCACCTGCATGATTTTCTCACTAAGGCAATGCTCAAACAAATTAAATAAACATGAAAATAGTCTCTGATAAAATCTGTTTGGGTTTTTTGCAACATTCTCTATACCAAATATACATCAAAAATCTAACATTTTAGTCATATGATTTCAAAACAATGTCAACAAAAAAATCCTTAGATTGCTTACTTGGGATATTATTCAAGAAAGTATTGAACTTTAATATTACTCACCTCAGAAAATTTGCATGTATAACTGATTAAATAATCAACAAAAACATCATCTGTGAATATTTTTCTTTATATTTCAGTTAACAAGCAACTAAACATTAGAAATGAATACAAGGCATTAATAAAAATAATTAGTACTATTATAAAAAGTAATTCTTGGTCTTATCTGAAGGAAAAAAAAGAAAAAAAATCACAAAAGAGTAAATTATATGATGCTTTCTGTGGTTATCTCCTGAATTAGAATGCCACTGATGCCTAGCAAATATTAAAAGATATGGACATCTTTAAAGATAAATACTGAGCATTTCCTGATGAAATGACATACACTCATTCCTCACTGATGTACATGGTTAGGTTCCAAAGTCCAGGTCATTATCCAAAAATGGAAGATGATCACATAAGATCATAAAATGATTAGATTACACCACTGCATAACTATCAAATCACTGAGAATCAGGGCCCAGTGAAGATGACACATAACTTTTAGCATCAGTCAACATTACCTTGAATACTTTTGCATAAGTTCAGTACTGCTGGATCACAGAAAAGGTTTACATTTAACTTCATTAGAAACTGCCTAAATATTTCCAGGCATTTACAACAACAAACCTTTATAAGCTTAATTTTTTTTTTTAACTTCCTTAAGATTTCACCCAATTTCATGTTATAAAAGAGTACGTCACTTTGAAGTCTACCTTGTAAATAGTCACATATAGCCCAAAATTACGGAGGGGCTGGGAGAGACACACGGACTTCTAAACAAATTTGGAAGACCTCATCTTTGAATTGTTTCATTGTTTCAACAACCAGTGAGGGAATGTTTAATGCACTGGTAGAATTTACTATGTCTGCAACCCATAATTTAAACTGGATTTTTAAGTGAGTAAAAGTCTTATGTTCAGATCATTTATATAAATAAACAATCTCATATAAATTCCTCATTTGAAAGTAAGGCTACAATATTTTACTTCATAAAAATGCTAAAAACTGGTTTTTATGAAGGAGATTAGAAGAAGAGCAGGATAACACAAAGCATGCTGAAAAGACTATTAGAAGATCAGGATAACATAAAGCATACATTTTTCAGAGCAAAGTAGCTCCAATTACTTCATACTGAACTAGAAAGACCCGCCCACTGATCTACACACATGCTCTTTATCTACGCAGATCCTAGTGCTTCGACACAAAGCACTTATAGAATCAAATCAAACCAAAAGGTGCCTTCAGGAAATGCTAACTGGAAACTGCCACTCTTCAGTGCGCCATAGTTGTGCTCATATTACAAAAGATCATTATTTACACTGAATAGAAAACAAATTTGCTCTGTATACTTTCACCAACAAAAGCAATAAAAAGTTTAAAAACCAAAAAAATAATCATTACATGTTGGTGGTGGTGTTGCAAAGTGCTGTCGAGTTGGTTTTGACTAATAGCGACCCTGCTGTCACCTTGTGATTCAAAGTCTGATGCTGATTCTACAGCACCACACCAGGAGGATTACAAAGGAATCTTCTCATATAAGAAGGCAATAGAGTTGACACTGTAACTCGACCGTTAATGGTTTTTGGATATATGAATGAAAATTTCTATATTTATCAGCGATAAATGTGAGGAGGCTAATTAAGTAGGTATACAAATGCTCAAAACAACAATTTTGGATTCCTCTATGTGGCAGGTCAAAGAAAATTGCCAAAAAGAATTTCCAAGGAACAACAGATTACTAAATACTAGTAAAGCTGTCAGAAAATAGTTTTATAGGAAGTTAGAAATCTCCTTGGTACACAGTGATCACTCAGTAACCATATGCTGAAAGAATGAGCTGATTTATCAACTCCAGGACTGGAGTAAGGAAAACACAGTACAACTTTGGAACACCAATTGTATCAGAAAAATGTAATTTATATTCAAAGAATATCAGAAGGACACAGGAATCAACTTGGAGGAGCTACACCACTAGCCAAAACTTAGACAATTTAAACATCAAAATAAATACCGAAACTATCAGATTATAAGCCTTTCAATAAAACAGAAATCTGTGAGCTCATAGTGATATAAATAATCAGACAAATGAAAGAGTTGTACCTCGGGTTAGAATGCCAACTAATAAATATTTTTTTAAAAAAAACCTCTGGAATTATGAAATCTTTTTTTATAACTTTTAGAATAATAATTGATTCCAATACGAATCATCAATGGTTGCTAAATCTGGTGAGTGAAATTCAATGAGGAACAAAGTATTTACACAGGCTTTGAGAATCTCTTCAAGGATTCCTAGTGGCACAGTGGATTAAGTACTAGCCTGCTAACTGAAAGCTGGACGATTTAAACCACTAGCTCCTCTGTGGGAGAAAGAAGAGGCAGTCTGCTTCCACAGAACTGTTCAATAGGGTTTCCTAGACTATGCCAGGTCTTTCTCCTAAAGAACGACTGGGTAGGTTCAAACTATCAAACTTTTGGTTAACAGTCAAGTGCTTAATCATTGTATCACTATTGTTGTTGTGAAGTGCTGTCGAGTTGGTTCTGACCCATAGCAACCCTGCATAGGGTTTTCAAGGAGCAACTGGTGAGCTTGAACTGCCAACCTTGCAGTTCAAATGACTTTGCAGTCTGGCGCATTAACCCACAGCGCCACATTGTATCACTAGGGCTCCTTAATCATGCTAAAACCAAAAACTAAACTGCTGCCAATGAGTTGTAGGGCAGAGTTGTATTCTTTACAGAAGCCGATTGCCCCATCTTTCTCCCAGAGGAGAAATCCAATGGATTGGAACCACTGATCCTTCAATTAGACTCCAAGTGCTTAACCATTGTGCTACCAAGGGCTCCTTAGCCATTCCATACAAGAATTTAATACTGCTCTAAGACATTATCACTATTTAAGACATAATCTACTCATTGTGAAGCTAGAAATACGTTCCTCCTCGCCAACATATGCCTTAGTCCTCAATACTAAGTTACACTCACCTGGTTTACAGGACCAAATCTAAACTCCCACTGCTATCGAGTCAATTCTGACTCAGAGAGACCCTGTACAGGGGTTTCCGAAACAGTGAATCTTTACGAGAGCAGACAGACTCATCTTTCTCCTACAGGCAGCTGGTGGGTTCAAACCATCAACCTTTCAGCTAACAGCCCAATATTTATCCCACAGAGCCTCAAGGATTCTCTAACACATCTATAGTCAACATGGTTTATAAGAAAGGTGCTAATGAAGCGCAGTGGAGAACGATTGCCTTTTAAGTCAATGGTGCTGGATAAATTGAACGCCCATGTATTAAAAAGACGAAAACAAATCTTAACTCTATTTCACGTTAGATGTAAAATTCAATTCCTAAGAAATTCTAGACCTATGTTTGAAGGATTAAATAATAAAGCCTCTGAAAAATAACACAAGGTTATCTTTATAACCTTGTGAAAGACAAAGATGTCTTAAACAGTTAAAAACAAAAACAAAAAACACTAATCAAGGAAAAATAATTCCCTCATTAAAATTAAGAATTTCTATTAATCAGAAGGCACCATGAGGCGTATGGAAAAAGTTATCTACAATATATATATATGACTGTTGTTGTTAAGTGCCATCAAGTCGGTTCAGATCCATAGCAACATTGTATAAGGTTTCCAAGGAGCAGCTAGTAAGCTTGATCCAACGACCTCGTGGTTCAACAATTTTGCAGTCCAGCACATTTATACAAGAACTCTACAAGTCAATGAAAAATAGAAAACAGACAATGCTTTTTTTTCAATGTTGTTGTTGTTGTTAAGTGCCGTCGAGTTGCTTCCGACCCATAGTGACCCTGAACAGAGTTTCCGAGGCTGTAAATCTTTACGGGAGCAGAATGCCTCATCTTTTTCCCGCGGAACAGCTGGTAGTTTCGAACTGCTGACCTTGCGGTTTGCAGCCCGATTCGTAACCACTATGCTATCTCAACCAATACTTTGTAACAGATTATATCCTACAGCCAAATACCAACCCCACTGCCATCATCAAGTCGGTTTCAATTCACAGAGACTCACTAGGACAGAGTAGAACTGCTCCATAGGTTTCTGGACTGTAAATCTTTATAGGAACAGACAGCCTCCTCCTTCTCTTGCTGAGCAGCTAGTGGGTTTAAACAGCCAACCTTCTGCTTAACAGTCCAATGCTTAACCCCACTGTGCCACCAGGGCTCCTTCCAAATACCAAGACATAAAAAAAGGTGTTCTCTTTTATTAGTTATTGTTATTGTTGTTAAGTGTTATCAATTCAGTTCCAACTCAGAGCGACCCTGAATAGAGTTTCTGAGGAGTGGCTAGTAAGGAAATGTAAATTATAACAAGAACAGCTAAAATTTTGAAAATTAAAGATACCAAATGTATTATTTGGTAGCAGTATATGAAAATGTGGAGAACTCTCACATACGGCTAATGTAAGGGTAAAGTGATATTGCTTGGTTATTACGTACTGATGCTGAACATAGTCATAACGTATGACCCAACACTTCCATTCCTAGGTGTATTCCCAACAGAAATGTACATGGACAAGAATATTTACATTGGTATTATTTCTAATCGTCTCAAACTGGAAACAATCCAAATGTTTACCAATAGCATAGTGAATAAATAAATTACAGCATGTTCATGTAATAAAAGACTATATAGCAACAAAATACTATGCTA